CTTCTTTAACTCTTATAATTGTTACTTTTTAAAAAATCATCTAGCCATCGTGTGATCCAGTTTTCATGAGGTCTGGATGTTTTTATTTTATCATTCAGTACCTTATCTACTACATCAAGCTTGTCTTCAAGTCTCGACAATCTCTCCTCAGATTGGTCATCCTTACTGCCCATACTTTCAACTGAATTTTTCATATCTAGGATTCCTGCTTGATTCTTTTTCATAATCATTAATGTTTTAGTAAATTTGTCATTAATATATTACTTTTAAAACCCAATCAACATTTTCTGTGTTATCTTTAAGCTCAATGAACAATAACTAAATCATCTATTTATATCCTCTGAGCTCAATGAACTTCTGATGCATTTGGCTGTTTCTTCTTCGAACTGTTTCAACAAATTATTTAGTTTTGAGTTGTTTGTTTGAACTTTTCTCTCCCTCAGTGCCCATGAGATAAGCAGATTTAAGAGTTTGGAGGCAACCTATTGCATTCTCGTATTTCTATTATTTTTGTACTGATGGTTGTGGAAGAGGAAAAAACTGTGTCATTACCATAGAGTTCTCTTTAGTTACTATATGTCTTTCTGTAACATGACCTTGGCTTTGGTCATGTTTTAGTGTTCATGAATCTACTATCCTACTCAATGTGTTAGGATCAGTCTTGGTCACTGTGCTGCCAGGGAAGAACAATTACTGGTTGTACCAGCATCTACAGAACCAACCACGAATCAATTATAAAATTGTTTTAAAATTTCATGCTTTTTTTCAATAACTCAGGAAGACAAAATAGTACTAATAAGTAGGTTGGGATGTGATGATGAGAAAAGGGAAAGGCAAGAAAGAAAAAAGTTCAGAGAGAAGTAAAGAAGGTACAAGATAACAGAAAATGAGTGGAAGAAGAGTGCTTTGGTGACTTTATTTTTACAACTGGAATCAAGGGAGGATGATGGGGTATGATAGGGTATTTGTGGGGTGGAAAGTATACTTAAAGGGAAGCTGAAGAAGGCCAGAATCAGTTAATATGCTTATAGGAAGCTTCTGTTTGACTCTTTCATACACAATTTTTGGTGAGGGTAAATCTGACATGACCAGGAAAGATACTATATAAACTAATGCAATAATTAGTTCTATTTTCCATTTCACATATATAAATACCTGCTTGTCAGGCATGGGCTCTAAGCTGTGCTAGGGTCCTGAGGCAGCCCTGATTCTTTTTCTAAATCCTGATTCAAGAATTCATTTAGTGAGTTTCTCTTTCATGTTGCCTTCCTGTATTTGGGTTTCGTTCATCCCCTCTCTCCCAGTACCTGTAGATGTTGGTGAGTGTCTCCTGAGTGCATCATGAGTTCTGCACTGCCTGCCCATCGCCAACCCCTTCCTCGACTTGCCATGATGTCTATTTATTTATTGAGACAGGGTTTTGCTGTGGTGTTGTTGACCAAGTGTGATCCTGCTGCCTCAATGTGTAGTGGGAGTATAGGCATGCACCACTACGTCCAGTCTCTAATTTGCTTTAATGTGTATTTCTGCACAATGCTAATATGAACTAAATTTGTTTAGTAAGTTGTAACAATATCACAAAAGACTTTTCCCATATAATGATGTCTCAATGACTTTAAAATCTAGATATAAATATGTGACAATACTTTTGTAACAATAGTAAGCAATTCTTTTTTTAGTGAGGGGGAGTATTTCTTTCTATTCAAACCAGTATTACCCACTTAAAAAGAGAAAGAAATAGATTTGACTACATAGGAATTAAGAACTATCCAACAAAAAAGCTCAAAAAAAAAGAGCCACAATCTGAGTAAAGACAGCTGTAATCCGCAAAAATTACAGTATACTTGATTCTACTGGAGTATTTAAAACAGCTTCTATAAATCAAGCAAGTAAACAATAGAAACAAATGGAAAAGAGACCTGTGTTTTGACAAAGGAGGAAATTCAGAGGACTAAAAACATCTAAAAATAAAAAAGTCCAATCTCAATAGCAGTTAGACAAAAATAAATTATGATCAAAATGTGATCATTTGCATTAGACTTGTAAAATATTAGTGTGCATGGAAATTCCAAGTGCTGAAGAGGATGTTATTCAAGAGGGTTTGTAAAATGGCATAACCACTTTGAAAATGATTAGGCATTGTCATATTAAATTAAAAATTCACATCTCTGTTATCCAGCAACTTCATTCTTGGGTAATCATCTTTAAGAAACTTGTATGTGATAAAAAGGGAGGATAAATCATACATTGTAGCATATATTTACAACCGTATTTTATAGCAATGAAAAGCACTGAAGCTACATGCAATGATGTAGATGAATCCTAGAAAAACATCACTGTATAAATACTTGATGTGAATCTGTTTTCTTTAAATCATTTGATATTTTTCTTTTGTTTTTCCAATGTACTTTCTTTTGGAATCTAAAGAAATACTGTCCCCAAATATAAACTTTCATTTGTCAACAAGAAGTATAGAGATGACCCTTATCATCATTAGAGTGATGGAGGTAGTGGATTAAGCAACCTACCCTCCTTTCCATTCTTTCCTACATTCACCTGCTCACCCTCCATCATAGTCCCTGAGTGCTGCCTGCGAAGAGTCTGGATTATCTAAGAAATGACAGTCTAGAGCAAGATAATCTGGAGACAAAGAGAGTAATAAGTGGAAAATGGAATGCTTTGGGCTGGGACTAGAGAAAAGTGAAGCATTTAAGATTTAGCATTTAATTCTTTCTGATCTAACCCACTACATTTTGTTTTGAAATTATAATGATTTAATAACATAAATTACTTCAATTATTTAAAATGTTTCAATATTTTGTGAAAGCTGTACTTCTCAAAGCTATCAAACGGATACCACATGAATTGGTATCTAAATTGTATCACTATATCAGATATAACTTTTCCTTAATCTTCAACATGACAGTAAAAGTTAATCTGAAATGGAATTTTCTGTAAATACTTCTAACTATATAGTGTGCAAGTATGTGAATTAAATGCTAAATCTTAAAATATTTCTAATTCTTCAAATATGTAATATTATACTCATCATTTTTTCCACTTAGCTAGCTATAGTCTCAGACTGACAAGTACCTAGAAAAAAAAGTCTTCTTACCACAACATTACTAATAAAAACCTAACAAAAGGAAAACAACAACAATTTATGTTCATGTTCTTGAAGCAATGACTAATATCTTAGACAAAATTAGCATCTTATACTTTGGTAAAATATTCACAGTCATTCAGAAGACTATTACATATTTTCTTTCATGTTATAAATAAAACTGTTATGCAATAATAATAATACTTCTCTTTTATAGAAGGTAAATTACCAATAACCTACATTCAATTAATGAACAAAACCCAGAAAGATAAAATATTTTTGTATTGCATAGAAGTCAGTATGTGAAGCAACAAACAGGAGCAATGTTTAAAGTTAAGATCATCATAATTTATTACTGAACATTATACCGTTTAGCTAGGCAAATATCATACTGAAATTTATCATGCCTGGTGACTCTCATGACTGTGCAAAAAGCAGAGTACTTTAGTTGCCAGAGGTTTAGCTAGCCTTTGCTAACATACATAGCAATACTTACGAAGCATTGTGACATGCACTTGGAAAACTAATATTCCACAGGAAGAAATAAGTGACGTGGCAAAACTGAAAGGATCCTGAAGTCACTTCTATAGAGGCACAACAGAAATATCAGCTTGGACTTCTAGGAAAAATAAGCTCCTAAATTTGAAAATGGTAGACTAGGTATTTGAAGCAAACTACTTTAGTTATCCTCATAATCTCTTTGACTAAATTGCATTTTAATCTTTGTCTAATCACTTTTGTCAATGATCAGCTGAAAATCATAATTGCATATGCTACGATTTGGTAGTGTAGTAATATACTCACTGCACCTAATCTAAAGATTAATGTATAGGAGAGCATTTTTTGAAAATTAAATCTCTAAACAAATTTTTCCCAAAGGAGTATCCTTTTTTTTTTTTTAAAGAAACTTATGCTGGAAACTATCTTGTGCCCTGCTTTGTTTTTACTTTCTAAAGTTCAAAATCAAATTTCATGTCTGACTATTATCATTTTATTTACCTGGTTTTAATGTGGTACTATATACTTCCTCTGGTGCTGACTGATGTTTATAATTATTTTAATATTCATGAACTTGTTATAAGCTGTTTGAAATGTTTTATGAATCTAGGCATGGTAAATGAAAATTACATATATTTCACTTACTGAACTCTATGCAATCAAACAAAGTGATTAATATAGTTTTAGAAGACATTTGTGAAGAAAGAGGTAACATATAAAACATAGAAAATAACCATTGATAAGATCATTTGAACTTTTAATTTTCATTGTTATTGAACATAAATTTCAAAAATATACATTAAGCAAAAATGTACTCACACTAGCCAACAAACCAATAGGCTCCAAACTCTGGCCTTAGGATAACTGAAAAAAAGTTGTTTGAAGAACGATCTCTCAGAAATAATGTTTAACAAGTTAAATTACTAAAGACAGTAAGTCATTACTGCAAAGTTTGACTACAGGAAATGATTCAAAAGTAGGGAGAAAAATGTTTTCTTGCAAAAGGTTTAAAAAGAAGCTGGGGATGTAGCTCAGTGGCACAATCTCCTGCCTGGCAAGTGCCAGGTCCTGAGTTTGATCCCTGGTAACAAAACAAAACAAAACAAAACGGTTTGAAAAGAAAAAAAAAAAAAAAACAAAAAAAAACAGGAAAAGAAAGAGGTCTAATAGCCCAGTTATTAAAAACATGAATTCAAAAATAATTTTCTAGTAAAAATTTCATGACCAAAAATAAGTGTAACATTTGACAATAATTTCTAAATTACCACGATAAATGCCCCTACCAGCCAGCACGTTTAAAAATATAAAATCTTACTTATCTAAAGATTAATTTTCTATAAGAATATAGAAATCTTTTACAAGAGAGAGGCTACTTAAAATATTTTGAAAGAAAATATACCTTTTCTTAAACATGGATATCGGAATAATTTTATAATTCCATAGTCATCAGCTGTAACTAAAACTTGGCCAATATAATTTCCATCTACTGAATTTATATCGTTGATATCTGAGTACTTGGGCCAAATTCCATTTACTTCAAGGCCTGAAACACATGTCCATGAAGCCCAATGAACACCTTTTACGTCTTCTTTATTTGTCACTTCTTTTCCTCCTAAAAATAAATCAATCTTAATTTAAGAAGTTATTTCATTTTTTTACTCAAGCTTAAATTTTACTGAGAATATGATAACCACAAATTTTAAATATTTTTACCCAACTGAGAATACACAAATAGATAAGCGAGTTTGGATAAGGAGAAAAGAAAATGCAAAAAAGCTTTTTTTTTTTTTTAAAGAGCCATTAACGAAATTATACTGATTGTGACACACAGATTTGAATATAACTGTCAGCTTGGCAGGTTCATCCATGTGGAAAATAAAACTGAATTCTAATAAAATCATGACACAGATTGCAACAAGGAAAATTAGAAGAAAAGGTTAAAACTTATGAGAAAGTGGCAAATCAGGTATTAAAAAAGAAATCTAAGATACATAATTGCAAAAGAAGAAAACTGAAAGAGACTAAAAAGTAAGGGTAATAATACATTTATATTAGGGAAGAGGACTTGAGGATTCAATAATTCTTTATTACATACAGATTATTAATGAGACGCTTTGGGGGACATATATTAAGTTCATAATATGGAATATAGTAACTAATTTAGTAAATTTCACATTAAAGTGCTAAGCAGTATTATAGTGACCATCTTTATTCCCTTTTAAAATCTTTGATGAAAAATCCTTTTCAAATTCAGTTTACTAGATGTATTAACACTGAAAAGTTTGAGGCAACTACAAAAAATTAATTTATGAGTGTGCACTTGCAGCAATTATATTTACTTAGTTCCACACACAAAAATTATATTTTGACATTAACACAGATTGTGACTTTACCATATATGACTCACATGTTAGAGAAATTAATACAATATAAATTGGTCTTAAATTCTCCAAGTAAAGGAATTTTGGAAACAAAAGGACTTAGAATGATGGTTTCCAGGGATGAGGCAATGCTAATGACAGCGTACATAAGGTTTCAGTTGTGCAGGATGTACACATTCTGAGTAGCTAATGTGTGGCATGTTGGTTGTAGCACTGTGGCTAATATTGCATGGTATATTTGAAATCTGTTAAGAGATAACATCTTAAATGTTTCATCATACCAAAAAAAGTGTAAGCTGATGGATGTTAATTACCTTGATTATGGAAATCATTGTACAATATACAGAATATGTTCATGAAAACCACACTGTTAATACAGACAATTTTTCTATGTGAACTGTACCTCAAAAATTGTAGGGAGAGGGAAAATTCCAGAACTATTTCAAAATAATATGGCAGCCTTATAGAAAAACCATAATGCTTGAAATACTACCTCTGAATCTCTTGATTTCCTATAATCAAATATAACTTATATTCTGTTTCTAGTGAAATTCTAAAATGTCAAGTAGACACTAAAATCTACAAACTATATACAATTTACTAGAAAATTTTACCTGGCATCCTATAAAAATGTCTTTTTCCATTTCCATCATTTGTCTGTAAATATCTACTGTCTGAGGACCAGTCCAGATGAGTGATGAAACTAAGTGACCCAACACATTCACCAACTTTTTTATAACGCTGAGCAACTCCATAAACATCAACTGAGCTGTCATTGCAGCCAACAGCAAGGTAAGTTCCATCTGGTGAATATTTTAACTCATGAATTGCTTCTTTCCTGTCTTTAATATGTACAACTTCTGTCATATCTCTGTTAAAAAGAAAAAATGAGTTCACATGAGCAAACATCACAAGAGAATTCTATTTCCAATGTGTCTAAAATGACTGTGAGCCTGTATCAATTGTGTATAAATTACAAAATAAATTGTATTCACTGAGGAATAATTATTTTGCTTAATGGAAACATATGGGAACAATGCACATTTCTGAAGTAGAGAAGATGTGGAGGGGCTGGCACGCGGCTCCAGGGCAGAGCACTTGCCTAGCATTCACAAGGCTCTGGGTTCTATCTTCAGTACCACAAGGGGTGGCGAGCAGTAAAGTATCACTTTATAATTTAGTAAGTACTTCAGAAATTCTTACTAAGCATCTCATTCATACAATAAAGTAAACAGATGTTTATGATAAAAGTTCTTTGTAAATACATAATTATAAACACTATAATTTTCTAACAAATTTTTATTAAAAGGCAAATACATAAAGTTACATTCAGAAAATAAAGAAAGTAGAAGGGACATTATTTCAACAATAGGTTTAAGTAGCTACTACTAGTTACTTTGATTTCTACCTCCTTATATCTTTAAAGAAAAAATATCTTCCCTTATGGATCTTGTCATTCAGTAAAGTTAAACAGTTTTTTTCAGTGATACCTTATAAACATTTCCAAAGTAACACAGGTATTGGTAAGAGCCATAAAAGAGGGTGAACACTTAGTTTAACTCTACTGAGTTTCCAAGGTTGTGGAACTGGTGGGAAGGAGGAGATAGAGAAGAGGTAGGCAAGGACAACAAAGAGGTGGCAGGAGGAGAGAATTTATACTTTCAATTAGTGTCAGGGACTTTTTCCTATATAAATTTTGCATCACTGATCTGAAATGTTCCAAGTAGATAATTTCAGAAACTCAAGTATTTTTCTCAATTTTTAAGGTCTCTGGGCAATTCAGAGCAATCACATATAGCTTTCTTTCAAAAATATTAAATATTTATTTCGGTTTAGTATTAAGAAATTACACTCAAACTTACCTTTTGTGAAAGATGAATATAATTATGATAAAATGTGGTAACTGCTCAGCAGGAATGTGTGAAGCTCTGTAAGCAATACTGAAAGATGGGTTAAGACTAGACTAAAGATGGAAGAGCCAGGGAAGGGTGAATTTCTAGTGAAGCATAAAACTTGAGGCGCTGGCCAAGTCTGAAAAAGGAGAGAGTATTTTCCAGGAGGAAGATACAGCATGAGCAAAGCAAGGAAGTATCCAATTGTATGGCAATCTGAACAATGGTGAATAATATAAGGTGGTACAAGAAGAGGCAGACAAAGTAGAAAATCATGGGGATGAAAACAGAAGGCAATCTGTGATGAATCTGATTTGTTGCCAGTTTGAGTTTTAGCATCATATTAATCTTATAAAGAAAGAGATGAAAACTTAACTCCAAAAAGAGATCAAAGAAAATTAAAAACCAGTATATGTGACAGTGTGATAGCACTTAATCAAAAATTCATTTCTCTTTTCCTAGATTAAATTGCCTAGTCTCCTTTAGCTACATGCCTCAGATCTCACCAGAGATGTGAGAAAAAATGAAGTAAGCTATTTCCAGGCTATGCTTCTTTTAGGAAACAGTAACACCCTCTTGAAACACTCTCTTATGCTGGCTACATGTTGCTATCTATGATGATTGGCCCAGGGACTGATGAAGTGCAACAAAATCAGAGTGTGGGTCTTTGAGTCATCTAGGAAAGGAAAGCTGACTTCAGACAGCTACCTATGGAAGAATTATCTTCTGCTGTATTTGACCCACCATGCATCTAGGGAACTTTTTAATTATAGTAATAACAATCACCAAAACCAATATAATGCTAGAAATAGATCTAGAAAAATAATTCAATGATAGATCCAAGACTGTAATATTTAAAACTTTTGTACTCAAAAAAAACCTTTCTTGCTCACTTTTGCCTTAGCAAGATCCTAAGAACAGACTCCTAGACCTCTATACTTTTCCCACTGATTCTTTCCTTTAGATTCTAATTAAATCTATACATCTTAGTCCTCTTTGCTCTGTATTTATCCATTCATTTATATCTATATGGAGCAAGATTTTTAAAATAGTAAGATACTATTTGATAACTTTTCATGTTTCCTTTATTAGAGATATTATAATTCCCACAAACATTAATAACATGCTTTTGGAAAACTTCAGAACTATTTTGGTATTTTTAATAGCATTTTTGTTTTAAAGACTTAAATGCAACCAGTGAATGATAAAATTAAATGAGCCATGAATCCATGGTTTTTCTGTCATGATACTCCTTTTTCTTTGAATCACACATAGTATAAAATAATGAGGGAGAAAGAGGTTCTGGCTGGCTGACTGGTATATTATGTTGGTAAGGAAACATTATGAATGCTATGACTATCCTCTCTCATAAACAAATTTCTATGACAAGTTTAAAGGAAAGAAGACTATAGGTGAACACTCGTTAATTTAAAAAATTCTAGATGAAGACTTCTGGGAAACTAGTATGTGGGTGCTATGATTTCTTTAAAAAGTAGACACAGTCCAAAGTCTGGGAATATTTAAATATTAACAGTTTGTAACACATCACAAAGTGGAGATATATAGCTCTGACCAGAGAATGTAACAGAACAATCATTCCTAAGGAAATCTGGGAAGACACCGTCAAATGGAGTGGAATAGATATTCATGATAGATATTCACAGTGGATTAGATAACCATCTAAACTTTATTTCAAGGAACACATGAGACCTGGTAAGTAAAGCATGCATGTTCCAGCAGACAGAACAGTATATGAAGGAGCTCAATGCAAGAAAATATTCAAGTTCAGCTTGAGAAGGCCAGGTAATTGTAATGATATAAGAAAGGAGTGACAGTGTGAGTTGAATCTGGTGAGAGAGGTTGAGAGAAAATTACGAAAGGCCTTTTAGATCTTGTTAAAATAAGGCTGTAATCTGTGAGTTTAACACAGGGTAGAATCTTTAGAAAGATACCATGCTTTTGCCTTGGTACACTAGTGTACATTTTTTTTTTTTGGTCTTTTTCGTTTTTATCGGTACCAGTGATCGAACTCACGACTGCATGCTTGCAAGGCAGGCGCTTATGCCGCTGAGCTAATCCCCAGCCCCCACTAGTGTACATCTTACGAATTATTAAGGAATGAGATGGGGGTATAGCTCAGTGGACAGGCTCTTGCCTTGCATTTGAAAGGTCCTGTGTTCAATCCCCAGTAGCACAAAAAGAAAACAAAAAGATTTAGTATGTTAGCTTCTAATCCATTTTATGTTTCTCCAACCATAATACTGTATAACCATTCCTTGTGAGGGTACTTAGCACAGCTATATTAATGAATCCTGCTTTACTAAATGGAGAATACAAAGTGAACCAAGAATACGCAAATCCAGAAGAAGTAAGGTTATTTTGTAAGTTAAAAATCTGTGGTTAAACTACAAAGGCATTTAGCTGTCAGAAAGATTATTCTAAGGATCCTATTACCAATTTTTAATTCTGTATCTAAATTACAGCCTTATTAGAGATAACATTCACTCCATTTGTGCCACACAGTTATTCAAAGGACAAATAAGTGTATAACTGAAAGGACAAGTAATGTATAAAATAATAATAATCACAACTCTTTAATGCATATCAGAAATATAATAGAACTCTAAGTTGTTTTACATACATTGTAAATTCTTGTAAAACATTTATAATATTAGCATTTTAATTCCAAAACTTCCAATACTTCCAGTTCTTGTAGAGAAACAAAATTGAAGCTTATTGTAAATATTACTATTCATAACTAGTCTCCATGGATTTCTAACATGAATATTTATATAATAAGTCTCCAAAGAAATTAGTCTATGAGAAAAATGAAGAACACATGTTCAATCTTAGATGATTTTGGTTAGAAAGATTCTAGATTTAATGACCAAATCAATGGCAACATTATAACTCTCCTGAGAACTGAATGGAGAACTTTCATTATCTTTAATTTCATTTTAAGAAGCTATTGACATGATGAAACAAGGCAATAAGGCGCAGGGACTTAGGAAGGAGTTTAATTAATTCAACATCTATACTACACTTTAAAATCTTAGTTTAAAAATCCCACTTATATAAGGTATCTACATTAGTCTAATTCTATCATAGAGACAGAGAGCAGACTGGTGGTCACTAGGGACTAGGGAGAGGAAGATGGAAAATTAATACATCAAAGGTGTTGAGTTTCAGTTTGGAAATGTTGTGGGGTAATTTGGTATCCATGTATGACAACAGGCCCCAACATATGGTGACACTTAGGAGAAAGAAATGGACAAAGAGACACAACACACAACGTGCAATTTATTGAGGGACTTACTAAGAGAAGTAGGGTCCTGGGCAGCATCAAGAGTAAGTGTGTCTCTAGAAAATTGGGTCAGAAAGAGGGATACAAAACCACATCCGCACTTGCAGACAAAAGTGACTTAATCCAAATCAGAATGTACCTGGTTTATCTTAAGCTAGTAATGTTATTTAAATTATTTTTAGTAACTGGTTGTAAAGGTGCCAAGGTCTGGTTGTAAAGCTCCAGTCTGGATAAACAAACTTGCAGTTAGTCAGATTGTCATGGTGGTTATGTTTCAAGATGGCTACAGTCATGCCAAGCTGAATTCATACAGAAAGATAAAAAAGGTCCAGAGAAAGATGGTGTTGATAATAGTGTAACAACGTGAATGTATTAAATGTTTAAAAACAGTTGAAACATCTCCTATAATTTAAAAAATCATTTTAAGAGAAAAACCATAGATACCTCATCATAAGAATCTACTTCTAATAGAGGGGTTAGCACATACAGTTTAAAAGTACTGGAGCATATGATGTATCTGAAAAAGTGAAAGAAGTTGTGTAAAGCTGAAAAAGAAGTGTAAGAAAACTGGCTGGAAAGAGTGACAATGTGAACCATGTAAAGGATTATGAATCTCATCCTAAACAGAGTATGAATCGTTTCTCATAGTTTGTAAGAAGAATGAAAATAAATGTGTTTAAAAAGGAATCACTACCAGTGAAGAGTGAAAAAGATCTTGAGAGAAGAAAAGTAAGGGAAAAGGAGACTAGCTATTCCACCAATCCAATTAGGAGATGACAAAAGCCTATACAAGAGTACACTGAGAAGAACGGAACGGAGGACATACATTTGAGAGCTATCAAGAAAGTAGACTCTGCAGACTGAGGGACGCAAAGAGAGAAATGAATTGATGGTATCTGAATCAAGGTACTGAACAGAAAAATCACTGAGCTAGAGAAGCCAGATTTCATTAATACTTCTGCATGTAAATACCTCTGGATCTGTAGCAAGTTTTTAATAGTTACACAGAATTCAAATTGGATGCACACTCAGCTACAATTCAACTTTTTAAAACAAATTCATTAAATTACTCAAGGAAGAGATGCTGGCATTGTTTCTCAAAGTATAGGATGCAGAGACTGACAACAACAAAAAACATCTACTCATTTTTTAAATACCCCTGGGGTTGTTTAATGCAGGGGATCATTATTAAAAGTATCACCAAAGGAAGTTAGAACCTAAATTTATAGCTCAAAAATGTAGTAAATTGTCTAATGAATTTTATTTTTTCCTACTTCTGGGGATTTGAAGATTGAACTCAGGGTCTGTGCACTTACTTACATCTATATTTCTTTCTTTGTTTTTGAAACAAGGACTCGCTAAATTGCTCAGGCTAAGGTACAATATTTCCAACTTTAAGGCAATAAGAAAACTCTTCCTGCTTTAGCCTTTCAGACACTGAGATTATAAGCATGTGTCACTACACGTGGCTTTACTAAGCATTCTTAACCCCTCAAACTAAGGTTTTTGAGTTTATTTTCCTGACAAAGCTATTCTTTTATAAATCTATTTTATGTTTAAAGAGACAATATCTGAAACACACTTTTAAGAATAAGAAGAAAAAATAAATAGGTGAAAAATGAGTATTAAAAATTGTACCTCACTGAACAGAAAATCACTGTACTTCTACCCGAATACCGTACCTTACTCTAAGTACAGTAAATGAACCGTCTTTCATTCCAAGTGCAAGATGGATTCCATCTACATTTACAGCTGCACAACGAATTGGTTCTTCCATATTACACCTTGCTATTAATGCATGATCTACTAAGCTCCAAATCCTGTAAAATTTAATAAACAGAGAGTTAACTAATGTATCCTTTCAAAATAATGATTATGAAAAGCTTTCAATTAAAATAATAATTGCATTTCAAGTAAGATAGAGATATTTTAATTTCTTTCTGACAAGAAAATACCATCTGTGAAAATAGAAATATTGGTCATGCTTATATTGACAAAGGTGTTTTTAAAAACAATACAACCATATTAATTTGTTCTAATCATCATTTTAGATGATCTCTATCCTGAAAAAAGTATGAATGGATGTGTGTGTGTGTGTATATATACATATATATAATTACTATATATGGTATTTTAAATTTAAAGGTATTCAAATTCGGAATCTGTTCCAACCTACAAGTTAGAAATTGACAATGAAAAGAATTAGAAAAAATGTACTATTTGAAAAATGATGATTTTCAAATAACAGAGAGACAAAGATAAAATGCCAATGAAAATAAGTTAATATTTTTAAGTAAGTTAACAAAAATTCACATTAAAACTTGTGGAATAGGGTTGAAACAGTACTTGGGGAGAAGTTTAGGAATATCTATATAAAAATATATATCAATCAATAAATCAACCAGTCACACTGGTGACTGAACCCAAGGTCTTCACATTAAACTACATCAGTTGTGGCAAAAATTTATTATTTTTTTATCAGTACATATTCATCATGTTTAAACAGGAGGAAAAAGATAGAAGTTCACTTTAAATATCGCATTTGAAACATGCCAGTGGAATATAGATCATAACGTTAATTAGATGGCAAAGCATTATTATGTAATTATTACATAGCTGTGTTAAAAGAATGTAAATGTACATTAATGTTATTAAACACACATTTTAGACAGCTAAATTAGGTAGAAATATTATAGGCAATCTGACAGGACTGGGTCAGTGCAAAAGATAAGAATATATTACAACTGTAGCTGGAAGCACAGACCTTCCTCAGAGATAAACAATTATCGATCTTCTAAATAGGCATCAGTCACTGGCATGGGTGACCAGGACTTCCTGACTCATCTTTTCCAAAAAAGGTCCTTGTTCTTTCAGTGTATACTTCTACATGACTTGCTTCCCCATTGGATCAACATTATCTAAGCAGTTATACTTGTAGTCTTACTGGTTGATCACAGCGGTGTCCCACCTTGTACTCACCTCGTAGTTTTGCTCTATAAAGTTTCCTTTGAGAAGTGGGCTCATGGACAACTCACTTTCTGGGTCTCCTGTCTCTCTCAGGCAGGAGCTGTCTCTCCCTCAATAAAATTTCCTACTCTTAACCTCTGAATTCATTCAGTTCCTCAGAATTCATTTTTCGATTTTGGGAAACATAAACTCAGCAAATCAGACATCTAGCAGGTTGAAAGTTATATTTCCTTTATAACATTTGGTCAAAAAAAGTAGAAAATTTAGAACAGAATCTCTCACAACAATTTCTTTACAAAATTAAAAATTAAAATGAGGTTACAGCAACGGTAAGCTTTTGAATGGTTCACATATTAGTCAAGCAAAGAGAGCTGTTTACTAGTGATTAGTTAAGTAGGTTACTAGTAAGCAATTTAAAGTTTTAGCAATAAGGTAGTCATTTGGAAGGATTGTGAAATTGTTGAATTTCTTATTTTAGGTCCTGGGAAAGGTCTGAGAATTTTCACTTCATATAAATTCCTTTGTAATGCTGGTGGAGGTTCAAGAACCACTGTGTGAGAACTATTATAGACCCAGAACTATTTCTCTGATATGCACACAATTATTATTAGAACCTATTGTAAGTCAATTAAAGCAAAAGACCAATGAATTAATAAAAAAAACAGGCAAAAACCTTTCTGGTCACAGAAAAGCAAATACAAATGTCCTTCAAACATAGAAAGTGCTCTAAAGGACACAACTGCAAGTGTGTTTAGGTGTGTAAGATAGATGACCATATTACTAAGTTTTGTTGGATCATTGAACACAACTGTTTGCAGTCTCACTGTTTGAATGTCTACTTTGTATGCTTTAATTTTGTAACTTGAACAGCTATTTCTAAGATGACAATATGTAATCTATTAACTAGTGATTTCTTTTTCTGTTTCTTTTTTTGAAATTCTATATTACCTGTACCCTTTTACTGTTTTGTTGTTTTTCTTTAAATAAAATTTTAAAAAATGTCCTTCCAACATACAAAAACATACTCAACAGCATTTAATAGGTGAGAAATATATAGCTTCAAAACACAAGACAGTATCATTTTTCAGCTTTTTAGGCAAGGGTTTAGGAAAACAGGCACTGTCATATATTGATAGGTGTGTAAATTTTTGCTGTTCCTTGTAAGATATTTACCTGCTGATTTTAAAATACATATATCCTTTAAACACTACTAAGAATATACAACAGATATTAATATTTACATATGTACAAAATAATATAAACAAAATAGTATTCATTGAAAATGCTGCATTTATTAAGTACACAAAACTGGAAGAAACTAAACTTCTATCAAAAATGGATAGTTGAATAAACTGCAATATATTCAACAGCCATTGAAAGGGTATAGGTAGGGTAGGGTTAGCTCAGTGGCATAAGCCATCTGCCTGGCAAGTGTGTGAGTTCGATCCCCAGTATCAAAAAAAAATATATATAGATAGGATCGGGGATTTAAGTCTGTGGCATAAGCACCTGCCCTGCAATTGCAAGGTCATGAGTTTGGTCCCTGGTACAAAAACAAAACAAAACAAAACAAAAAAAGGTATAGGTAGCTCTGTATATTTCAATATGAAGGAAACTCTGTTTTTCAGAGAAAAAATATTTTTGTTATTAATTCTATTAATTTGAAGTACCTATTCTGTTCATTTGATATACTATAAGCTCTGAAATTTGAAACTTAAGTATTTTTTCAGTTTTGTCTACAGATAAATTTCAATCTATGCAATGACTCTGTAATTTGCTTACCTGACTGAACGGTCGTCACTTCCTGTCACAGCCAAAGGTTTATTAGGATGGACAGCAAGTGCCCAAAGTTCACCTTCACAATGGCCTTGCATAATTAGGAAAGGTTTATTTCTTTCATGTACTACAATTTCAAAAATTTCACTATCCTGTGTTCCAACTAAAATGTGGTCACCTCGCCAACAAACACTCCTCACAGACAAACCTGGTGAAAAAGTATTTAATGTCAATGATTGCATTAAATATCAGTGCTGTAATAATACACTGCCAGTTTCCCTAATTCAAAGCTAATTCTTATACCTTGGATATTAACATAGAAGAAATGTGCAAGTCCTTATTCTGCACTCTCACTTTCTTCAATTTCCTGTATTTTCCACATGGAATGATATTTCTTTTCATATACCTGTTTCCACTCATCCTTCAAGATATGCACCCTCTTGTTTCCTGGTAGACAACTCCAGATAATCTACTTCCTTAGCCAATGTTTAATAGCATTTACAGTCTGCTTCATTCAATAAATAATTACACAGGACCTAAGTTTATAGAATTATATTTTTCTTTAATACTGTGGCTTTTCACTTTATTTAATGTTTCATTTCCTCAATGTTTTCATAAATAGATTCAGATAAGAGAATTTTACTTCTTTTGTATTTTCCACAATTCCTTTGGCAATCTTAGCAAAGCTGTTTTTCTCAGTTTCATCATTTGTAAAATATGGTCAATATAACAATTACTGCACAGTATTCTTGTGGTAATCAAATTTTTAAAGCATCAAATAAAGAGTAAAATAGAAGAGAGATAAATAGGAAGTAGAGAAAACTTCAGTTATTTCCCAAAACACAAATTCCTTTATCTTACAATATATATGCTAATTGGTTTCATTTATACTATTAGTTTATTTTAATTTGTTGAAAAGAAAGTTTTGTATTACTACCTGTTTCTTTCTTGTAAAAATCTTTTTGGTTTATGTGTTGTAGTGTGAAGATAACAAAGATAACAATACACCGTGTAACAACTACTGTTATTTTCTTATTCATAAAATTTTGTCTTAATTTTTATAAAACAAAAATTATTTTGTAAGTTTCAAAATATTATAATGCTCAACACAATAAAAAGAGACAACTAAATAATTATCCCAAGGCTGTACACTACCAAGTGACTAAAATACAATTTAAACAAAGATCAAAGAAACTTCCAGTCTGAGACTTACAATACTACTTTAGAAAATATGCTAAATTTCACTGTTAAAGATTGTGGTGTTTTAAAGTTACTAAAAGAAAAAATATCCCCCAATTGCTTACAAATTGGATGAAAGAAAACATATCTATACACATTTAAATAACCAACATACTTTATTTGTAACAGCTTCGTTGGTAAATAGTTCTGTTTAGTATTCTAATTATGAAGTATTTTCAAAATTCAAGGTTACCAAAGTGCCTGGCAGATCTCTCTGAAGGTCATATCCTCACACGTATTAGATATATAAAATACTCTTTGTCATAACATGAACCCAAACTCCCTAAAGACAGAAAACCTCAAAGCCTTCAAATAAAATGTATACAATGTGAAAGGCAAATCAAATTTTTTTATTTATATTTCCAAAACATATAATTATGTTTATCAAAAGAAAGAAACAATCCTTGGTATGCTTGGAATTTGCTTAGTAATGAGACATTTGTTTTATTATTACCTTTATATCCCTGATCTGTTTCCCTGAGATCAATCACAGTAATTGGTTTAAAAGTTAAATCCCAAAGACGAATACAGCCATCTCTGCCACCAGTAGCAAAGCCTTCTTCACAAGCATTCATGCTAAAAATTCCTGCCTAGATGAGGAAATAAAGTAACAATATAAGCTTCTTTAAAACATCTACTATATAAATCTAGAAACTTACTTAATATTTTCATATGACATAGGAATAAAACAGTATTTCAGATTTAATGCTTCTTTGCTACTTTGCTGCCTTTTCCCTGCCCTGAACCATTTCTCCTCTGCGATGCCCCTCTGCCTTGGAGAAAGTTAACTATGGACTGAAACCTCTACAAACCGTGAGCTACAATAAACCTTTCCTCCTTTAACGTTGGGTGTTGGGTATTTTGTCTCAGCAACAAGAAAAGTCACTAACATAGAAGGTTAAGTAGTCATCATCTAAAGGTGTTTACACTTACAGTATGGGCGCCTTGAATTGTTCGTACAAGATTGATTCCCTTCCAGACATATATATCTCCACTGAGTGCACCAGAATATGTTAGCTCGTCTCGAGCACAGGCGAGGCACAATATTGTCTGAAGGTCACCCGTTTTACCGAAGACTCCTCGTTTTGGGGTTAGAGCATTTCCACATAAACTCCAAAACTAAAAAAAGTACATAGTATAATAATCGAATTATTAAAGAATGCTTATAAAATAAAACATTTCAATACTTCAATGCTATATCAAAATAGCAGACCAGAAATTACCTAATAAATTGCTTTATGATACAATGGCATTCAATGTTCACATCCTCATTCTAAGGTTGCCAAAAGCTATGTAACTGCAGGTAAATCACTGCTTTCAATCCTTATCTGTAAGAATAAGGAGGTTGAACTAGATTATTTTAAAAATATACTATGCTTTCCTTAGATTTCTGAAAAAAATCTACTTGAAACAGAGACAAAAATGCCATGAATGAGTTAGCAATGAAAAAGAAGATAAGACACCATGTTCTGACAGGAAACATGACCAACTCTAATGTTTAATCTCTAATGGAAACTAAAAATAGGAAGGGAAGACTATGTTTCTCTTGTGGATATTTTAAAAGCTGAGCAGTTTCCTTTTGTAAAGTTTAAATAATAAGATAAACATCAATTTAGAAGGATTTGTTCATCAACTGGAGAAGACAGAGAAGTCAAACATAAATCTTTGTGACCAGAGGTTTTATACTATCAGGAGGATTTCAGTAAAGTTTTGTAATTTGCAGAGAGAAATGTCTTGTTTTAACTTAGATGGTACAGGGACAAATACGTTAAATGGTACGGTATAAATTAATTAGGCTGAGAGAATGTAACTTTTTTCCCTTTTTTCAGTACTTGGGATTGAATCTAAGACCTACACCCTAACCTATACTGTTAGTTCTTTTTAAAAATGCTGAGACAGCAGGACTCAAACTTTCAAGCCTTCTGCCTCAGCTTCCCAGAATACTGGGACTGCAGACATGCACCTCCATGCCCAGGAAATTTAACTGTGCAGTAATTATTAAAAATTTATAATTTTAATATTTTACACTTATATTTTAAAGCCCTAAGCCTCAAAGAACAAAAATTGTAACACTTATCCATTCAAATAATTAGTGCATACTTTAATGAATTAAATTTTTTTTTTCTTTTGAGACAGAGTCTCTCTGTGGTCCAGGCTGGCCTTGAACTCATGCTTTTTTTTTATTTTTGGTTGAGACAGAGTCTCTCTCTGTAGCCCAGGCTGGCCTTGAGCTCACAGTGATCCTCCTGTGTTAGCCTCCCAAAAGCTAGGATTATAGGCAGGTGCCACCACATCTGATTTTATGATTTTTAAAATGAAAAATTTCATAATTTCTTTGTGTAGAAACAGTCTCTCCCTTTCAGCAATTCCCAATTTAAATCTATTATTTTCTTTGAAGTTAGTGATTCCCAAGCTTGTTTTCACATCAGAATCACCTAGAAAAATTAGAAAATTTCCTGGTCCCCAACACAGGTAAACTGAGATAAAATCTTTGGGGAATGAGGCCCAGCCTTCGAAATGCTTTTGACGTTAAACAAGAGCTAAGAACTACTGCTCTAAACTGTAGATTAGAACTCTCCATCAGAATTTTCAGTAATGATGAAAAGTGTGTGCTCATGCATTCTAATACAGTAACACAGTAATATTTAAGGATTTGGAATTGGCTGGAAGAATGAATTTTAAATTTTATTTAACTTTATGTCTAAAAAGCTTCAAGTGTTTAGTGGCTATTGTACCATTTTAGATCACCTTTGGGACTTAGTTTTCTTACACACACTGCCTGCATAAAGAACTATAATGCTATTCTTATTTATTTTTTGAGACAGTGTCTCACTATGTAGTTTAGGCTGGCCTTGAACTCACCACATAGTCCAAATTGGCCTCAAACTTAGAGGTATCCTCTTCCTTCAGTTTTGTGAGTGCTAGGATTACAGGCATGGAGGCACCACACCTGGCTTTACTACTATGCCACCTGTGTTTCCTTGAAAATAAAACCTAGTTGGAAAATAATCAGCCTTGAAAACTAGAGATCAAGAATGCCAGCTTCAATCAGGCTATCCTTGTCTTACCTGCCTTACAAAGCAGCCACCAACCAAGAGAATAGTGATAGCAGGTAAGGCTAGGATAGGCTGACTGCGACTGGCAGTTTTGATTTCTAGTTTTCAAGATTCATTATTTTCTGGCTAAGTCTTATTTTGGCGGAAAAGGGGATGTCTGCTGCTGCTATCAAAGGAAAAGAAATGTAAGGCATAAAAAAGATACAGGTTTGTTTAATTTTAGAAGATAAGCTCTAAAAAAAGTCTCTGAATATATAACTTTTAGCTTTATTTACAATGTAAATCATCAGTAAGATCTCTCCATTCATAATTAGCCCATCATTTACTAAGATACATATACGTAGACATGCATATACCTGTCAATCATCATCTTGCTCTCAAAGATGAACAAGACAAAATCTCTGTCTTCATAGTGCCTTAAAGCTTGGCATAGTGCCTTTGCTACTTAATATTTATTGAAAAGATAAAGATTTAATATTACTGATTCAAAAACCAATAACAATATGAAAAACAGAATTGGGGAAGCAAGTAGAGCTGCTCACTAGGAATTAACTGTTTTCAGAAACTGTAAGATAGAAGAGTTTAAGGAAAGCAAGTATGTGCCATTTGCACCAGTGACTCAGACACAAGGTGAGCAGCACTACTAACTTTATGGTCTTTGAACCCTCAACTATAATTTTAAAACAAAACCTAGAACTTGTATGAGCAGAGTAAATAATAGCTAAAGTCAAATTGGAGAACAAATACAGAAAGAGAAAAATACTTTCAGAAAGCTAATCCTGTGTGAGGCACTCAAATATGCTATCTTTTTAATCATCAGTTCTTCAAGGATGAGAGCAATCAGTTTCAAGATTTGAAAAAAAGTCTAATAGGTTAAATAACTCATCCAGTAAAACACAGAATAAAGGGCAGAGTCACTTCTATCCATGATGTTTCTACATACCATTTTTGCTCTGCTAAAAAAGCTTTACTTGGTTACCTTACTTGGTTGACTTGGTTACCTTATACTACCTTTTACTTATAAGTGAAATATAAAGAAACAAAGTGAACACAATGAATCCTACCTCACTAGACTATAAATTCCTTTAATGAGAGTGGTTCATTAATTCTTATTCACATCTACATGCTTTACATTTTAAGGTAACTATACAATATATATTTGTTAGACTAAACATATGAACGTTAAAGTTGACATTTTTAAAAAATAAATACTGCCAAGTTTCTAAAACTACTCTAAATTGTTGACAGTGTAATGTATACTTAGGTAGCAGAAAATGAAACAGGATTATTATAAAACAAAACCCTTCTAGTACCTTGATATGTTTTACACCACAGCTGACAAGTTTATTTGGCTGGTACAAATCCCAAGAAATATCAAATATCTGTAAACAAATTGGATTCACAGTTAAAATATTTATTTCCATAATCGCTTAAAAGTCCTGTCCAAAAGAGCAAATGTCCCAAACCCTTATTAGCAGCAGTCTCAACAATCAGAACCCCACGTTTCAGAATTTTACAAAAAGTAAAAATAAGGAATAACATTCTTAGTTATCATGAACTTAGTGAAACAGTCAGCAGAATGAAATATTTAAGGCTTCTATTTATTGTTTTTGAGACTATTTTGCTGTGCAGTTTAGATTGGTCTTGAATTTACTATGTAGCCCAGGCTGGCCTCCAACTCACAGTGGTTCTTCTGCCTTAGCCATCAGAAGTCCTGGGATTACAGGCATGTGCCACCACACCCAGCTAATTTTTAAAATAATCTGGCTTATAAATAACAAAAATAGTCAACCTAACTAGAGCTTTAGGCAATTACCTGCATAATTTTTACAGGGCAAGATTCTAAATGGAACATACACTTAACATGAATAGAACAAGAAATGATGAATATTTTTATAGCTTTTTACCACAGAACACAATTTTCGTAAAGGTACAAAACATTTTTCATAGTTTTTAAAGCTTTCTCATTATTTATTGACCAAAAAAATTAACTTACACACACATATTTAATATTTTGGAGGTCCCAGGCTTGGTTCATACTAAGATTCCATAAACCCTAAATACATACAAACCATTTTGTGATAAATAAAAAACTCAGATGAAAGAAAATATGCATTAAAAATGTATAATTGAATAATAAGTGGAGAGAAAAACATTTGAAAAATAATTCACTTGTTCTGCTATGTGGCAGTCTTTATATTTCCTTGACCCATGTAAAATCTAACCTAAGTTGTTTATCATGTCTAAAAACTCACAAAGCAACTCTTCAGTAATGAAGAAAAAATACTTATAACTTAATGTTTAACAATGCATCCATCATAAAAGAGATTAAACAAAAAACACAACTTTAAAATACCCAAAATACTTTTAAAATTCTAATAATTTTAAAAATAATTGGCCTATTTACTAAATTCAAAGTACTAAGGTATTAAATGCTAAGGTACTAAGATATTAAATGCTTTGATTTAAGTAAGACAGAATACAGAGCTATCATCTAAAACGTCCCCAAAAGTCTCATGTGTTCAGAGATGGTACTCTCAGGAGGGAATTACTTTATGCGTCAGGGAATTAATTCAGAGCTGAATACAGTGTTAGGAGGTGGGGCAGCTAGGAGCTGGGTCGAGGTGGTGTGCCTGTGCCTGTGCCTGTCAGGTGCATCTCCAGTTCTGGCTCCTCTCTCCCTCTCAAGTTGCTGGCTGTCATGGCTTTAGCAGCTTTCCTTTGCCATGCACGCCCTTCCACCATGCCATTTCTGCCTTGGTGCCAGCCAGTGATGGATGGAACCCTTTAAAGCTGTGAGCCAAAATAAACTGTGGGTGTCAGGTACTTTGTCCCAAGAACAGGAAAGCTTACTAATAAAACATACCTAACATTTTATAATTGTCTCAACTATATGTACTGCATAACAGGCTTGAGAGACTCCTGAAAATATTCACAAAATTTTCTGTATAACTTTAATCGGTTTGAGCTTTGTACTAAAAAAGAATCATTGATTTTGCCTCTCTTTTGGTTTGAGTTAGGACTTTACTATATTCAACCATTAGATATTTTTAAGAGATTATAAAATTGTCTTTGTTTACAAAACAGTATAATATTTAATTGAAATACTGGTATTATACTACAAGATATTTATTTTATTAATCTTATGTAACTTAAAATAAAGGATATATACATTTTAACAAATTCCCAAAGTAAAATGTGGCAGGTCTCTAAAAAAATTGTAATATTTTTTCTGTATTGTTGGGGCTCGAATCCAGAGCCTTGAGCATACCAGGTAAGCACTCTACTACAGAGCAAGCGCTCTACCACACCATTTGCAGTCCATAGTAATATAAGACATGTAACATGTTAGTGGTAAACCAACTAAACAGATCCTAAATATAAACCATTAAATTTTAAAATATTTGAATAATGAATGTTTGTGTATGTCCAAACTCAAAAGTGCATATACTAAATATGTGCAGTCCTTTATAAGTATATTACAACTCAATAAAGATGCTGAAAAAATCCCCAGAAAATTTAGTCTGTACTGAATCACTGGGTTAAAAGTTTTCCGCTAATACTATGCTCATTGAATCATGTTTCTGAGTCTCACAATTCTACATTTTTTGGGGGGGGGGTCTTTTTGAGACAGGATTTCACTATGCAGTTCAGGCTTGCCTTGAACTCACTTTGTAGCCAAGACTGGCCTCAAACTTGCAGCAATCCTCTTGCCTCAGCCTCTAAGTGCTGCGATTATAGGTGTGTACCACCATGCCCAGCAATTCTACAATTTTAAAAATATTGTATTTTAAATAGCTTTACTGAGATATAATTCCCAAATTATTTACCCAATTAAAATGTACAAACCAATGGCTCTTAGTACACTCACAGAACTGTACAACCATTATTACAATGGGGGTGGGGTATGGACAATTGAACTCACAACCTTGTGTGTGCCAGGCAGGCACTTATGTCACTGAGCTAAATCCCTGGCCCTACAACCAGTTTTAATGGATTTTTTTGGGTACTGGAGATCGAACTCACAACCTAGAGCTTGCCAGGCAGGCACTTATGCTGCTGAGCTAAATCCCCAGTCCAAAAACTTCATTAGAATTTAACAGATATTTTGTCTCAAATTCTTTCTTTTTCCTCTGGTAATGGGGATCGAACTCATGACCTTGTGCTTGTCAGATAGTTTTAGAACATTTCATCATCTAAGAAAGAAATTGGTAACCAGTGGTAGTCATTCTTATGCTTTCCTCTCTCCTGTAATTGTATAATTTTTTACAAACTATAAAATTTTAATCTGGAAGTAACAGAATACATAAGAAAAAATTCCAGAACTTTTCTTCAGCCTTTTCCTGCCCAGTATTCATTCACACTCCCAAAGGAGAATACTTACTCTATCTGTGTGTCCAGGAGCCATAGATAATACCTTCCCCCTTTTCCAGTCCCAAACACAAACTGCATTCTTTGAGTCCAGTCCAACAGAGACCAAGCGCTGAGTAATGTCCAAAAAGTCCAGAGGGAATAAAAAAGAAAACAAATCAAAGAACAACTAACTGGATTACAAATGCCAAATAAATTCTATTCATGAATGTTATAAACATAAAAACGTATATATGTGTATTCTATAGATAAGGCAGATGTACTTCATCTTTTTTTTTTTTTTTTTTGGGTCTTTTTGAGACGGGGTCTCGTTATGCAGTTCAGGCTGGCCTTGAGCTCGCTTTGTAGCCCAGGCTGGTCTCGAACTTGCAACAATCCTCCCACCTCAGCCTCCAGAGTGCTGGGATTACAGGCATGAGCCACCACGCCTGGTTTCATCTTGTTAAAACTTGTACATACATACATATTGTTTCTTCCTTAAGAAAAAGAAGATTTCTAATAGTAGGACTGACAAAATATCCTAAATATAATTCTTGTAAAAAATTAGAGATACTAGATAAAATGTAAAAAACAGCTTTTTAAATGTACTGCTAAGGTGCGTTAAGAAAATGAAAACAAAAACAAACATTTCCAGTACAAATCCTAACAGGTAAGAGACCACATACATATGTATGAGATGAATCACATACTCATTTTTATCCTGTAGACTGAAGAGGAATAGGTGATAAATCTAGAAAGCATTAAAATTGTAGATCAATGACAAAAAGCAATGAACCCCTCAGAGTATGGCACACTGCAGAATAATCCCTTAAAGAGAGTTAGCAATGCATGAAAGGTGAGAAAATCTCCTGAACAGTCAGAACCAGAAGCAAAGTTCACATTGTTGAATGACCTAAATTCACAGTAGTCACGAATCTTTCCAGTATGAAGTTGATTTCAGAGTGCTCCTAAGGATTGTGTGTGTCTTCAATTTCAACCACAGAGCATATGCAAACATAAATCTTGTAAGAATACAACTTTCAACACATCTCTCAAAGAATTCATACACACAGAAATTCAATAAAAATAAGCTTTAAAAAATGAAACTGAACACTCTGCAAACATGAAAAGAGGTCACAACAATAAGAAAAATTAATCATGCAAAACACATTAGATATTAGAATTATAAAAGCAATATAAAATAAGCTTAATGAAAGTAAAGAAAAAAGACTTCATAACAGTTGAACATGAACGAAGAATAGGAATCTATGAAACATAATCAAGGAGATGTGAAAAAGCAGATAGAATTTCTAGAAATGAAAAATAAGGCCTGGAGTGGGGATGCACGCTTGTATTCCCAGTACTTAGGAGGTCGAGGCAGAATAGTCACTGAGTTCAAGAACAGTCTGGGCTACATAAATGAGTTCAAGGCCAGCCTGAATTACATGGCAAGACCTGATTTCAAACAAATAAAAAAAAAACAACAATGAAATATAAAAATACAATAGATGAATGAGAGAAGTTAAGAAACATGAAAAAGTGATCTTGTAGTCAAGAATGATTATCAGGGTCTGAATTTATTCCCTGCCACAAATATATAAAGATCTGTAAAAAATACATGAAACAAATGTGTTCAGGATGTAAAGCAATGTGAACCTTAAAAGAGGGGTAAACAAGGTGAGTCTTACAAATACCTGAGCTTTCATTAGGAGGCAATTTCCAAATATTACATTTTTTTCTTTTTGTACTGGGAATCAACTCATGACCTTGTGTCTGCCAGACAGGTGCTGTGCTGCTGAGCTAAATTCCCAGCACAATTTCCAGATAAACACACTTAAAGTGGAACTCACTAAAACCCAGCCGACTTGCTGTTTTGAAGACAGATCCTAGAGTTCAGAGAAGCCAAGAATATAATTTCCAGAGCAGAAAATGAGATCTAAGAATCTTTTTATCAGTGAGATTTGGGAACACTATTCTTTGCATGCATAGAACAAAATTCGTAAGGCTATACTAAGAAGAAACTCTAGAAAATAACTATTAAAGGGGGAAATAAAGCCAGTTTTAAAATCACAAGGGTTAGAAATCATCCAAATTTCTAACAGCCAGAATGGAGAACCTCTTTGAACTGTGTATTAATTAAGTATTCCAGGAGCATCACCCCAGATCCATGAAGGATTTACTCAATTTCAAGAACAATGTTCAAATATTTTAAAGAGATACAATAAAATATAGCACTGAAATATGACATACACAATGGTTAGCATCTAATGAAGAAATTACTGGCATGTGAAGAAATAGAAACACTCATGGTGGTAGGGGGGAACAATCAACAGAAACAAACCAACCCATAAATTATGGAGATGACCAAAATTAGAGGAGTAACTATAACGAAAATGTTCTAAAAGTTCAAATACAACTACAAATGATAAAAAGAAAAATGAGAGCTCTCAAAGCAGAATATAAGCCAGATGTGGTACTGCATACCTTTAATTTTAGCCCTGGGGAACAGGAGACAAAAGAGAAGGAAAAAGGAGGAAAAAGGAGGCAGAAGGTCCAAGGAGGTAGAGGGTGATGGTAGAGGAAGAGGGGGAGACGGTGATGGGGAAAGATGATGGGGGAAAAAGATGAGGAGGAGGAGAAAGGAGGAGGAAGAAAGAAGAAATAAAACTGGTAAAAATAAATAGTGTATTATCTGAAATGAAAATTCACTTTAGCCGGGCATGGTGGTGCATACTTGTAATCCCAGCATTTGAGAGGCTGAGGCAGGAGAAATGACACTCTTTATAATCATGTAGCATAGGTCAAAGGTAAATTAGGCATTTTATTTTGTACTAGCTTATAATCAAAATCAAATTTAAAACTTTTATTATGTATTGGATTGTTCTATAAATTAGAAGAGTTGCAACTGTAACTTAAACCTTATTATATATGAGGAAAATGTTTTTGGAAGTTATCACTTGATACCAGTTAAATTTCTCATTCCTTTGTCCACCTCTCCAGTTTATTATCAAATGTTAGTCCCTGTTTGATGTGGATTTACATAAACAGCCTTTGCAGGCCCTAGCTGTCCTCAATAAAGCAGAAGTTGCCACCATTAGTGTGGATATTCAACTTCTGTCGAAGAAAGCCTCTGGGACAAGAAGGTTCAGCATTACCACCCACTAGGAAACTCATTGATCAGATAAACCCTAAATGATCACTTATAATGTCAAACCTATTAGAAAATGCAAAATATAAGACAATATTCCTAATCAGAATCCCATAAACAATTTATAGAGAGAAAACAGGTTCATTTCCTATTATCTTGTTTTGAAGTCCTATAATGCTTTCATTCTTTTGTTTGGTTTTAGTCTGTTTTCTATTATTTGATTTTATTATGTGTGAAGGCATGGACAGCTATTTTGAAGAAAACAAGACACATTATAGTAGCCACTGTCAATTTTCTGGTCTTATTTTGAAGTCAGGTATGTTTTCATTCTTCTGATTGGTTTTGTTCTGTTTTGCTCTGAGTTTATTGTGGTATGGACAGCTATTTTGAAGTAAATGAGAGACATTATGCTAGTTATCATTGATTTCCTGTTGTATGGCTTTGCAGTCCTGTGTTGCTTGTATTGCTCTGTTCTGATTTGCCTTGTTCTGTTTTGTTTTATTCTTTTTAAAATAAAAAATTCTATAATTAAAAAAAGGTATGTTATGTCCCCTAAATATATTTTTCAAGTTAAACCACTAACATAATCTCAATCTTCAACTGGCAGCAATTCCTCACAGTTTATCTTTCTGTGTATTTAAAATGGATTAATTCCTTTTAAAATATACTACCTCCTACATTACATGTTTGGAGGCAGTAAAGCATTGCTGTTAAAGACACGAGCTTTGGAGTATGACTGACCTGAGTTCCAGCTCTGGTTTCATTTACTAGCTGTGTAACCTGGGGCAAGTAATTTAACCTAAGTCTCAGTTTCTTTATCTGTAAAATAGAGATAATATTAGTATCTATTCCACAGAGTTGTTACAAGGCTTACATGAGATAACGCAGGCTTAACAAAATGCCTGACATTTAGTATATACTACATATCTTTTAGGTAATATGTTCCTATAAAGTTGAAAATGTTACAATGTTCTCATGAAGATTTATGGTGATATAATACATGTACTCAAGAACTTTCTTGTAAGTTGCTTTAAGAAAGCAAAATTGAAGGCTTTATGAAGTGATTTCTCCTTGGATCTCACTCCCAATGCAGTATATGACATTTAAAAAGAGCAAGACCCTTATAATAAAACATCTTAAACTTCTTAACACCTGAAATGATAAATGATTTTTTTAAAACTACTGTTTGTAGATTTAAAATAATATTTTAAATTCCTGTGAAGTAGGAATTATTCTCTTTCCTTTAAAAAAGAAAACAAAATTTGAATATGAAGATAATAAAGGACTTGGAAGATAATAGCAAAAATGGGACAAGAATTAAGTTTCTATAATTGCTAATCATACCTACATAACAATATTAAACCTAGAAGCATATTTTCCTCAAATAAGAGGTTCCAATTAAGTTTTTACAGTCCCTTATCCGAAAGTACTCTCTCATCTCATATGAATCTATCCTACTCAAAGACGCTATTCCACAGACTAATCATAGACTAAATGATGCTCAAAGACGCTAATCACAGACTAAATGAAATAGGTACTGGTTATCTTTTAAAGAGGATAGAATATATTGTAATCTCTGTCTGTAAAATCTAAACCTACAAAACTAAATTTAACTTTAAATTGAAAAGCAGTAACAAATTCTTCTAAAAGTTAAAATGATTTTAAAGTCTAATTTTAATACAAAACTTTTAAAGATTATAAATTCATTACACCTACAAGTCCAACTTTCTTTACAGTATTTAAGTATGATTTAGCTATAACAAGCCCCACAGAAAAGCTTGATTGGTTTAACTTTTTAAAAATCATTCAATAAAAGTAGAAAATAATTTGGAAACTATTCAGTAGAGTGATAATTATATCCTTTGCTTTGAACTTTGATTTCTGTATAAAAAATTCATAGGAATTATCTCATTTTCAATAAAAATGTAATTATAAAAGATGACCTTATAAGTAACTAAAAATTAAAATGCATATCCCATACTTAGAGAAATGCTTTTCCTAAGATAGCTTCCATCTCTCCTGTAAAATACCCTTCTTGGAAAAGGATTACATATAGTAAATTTTCAATATCAATCAGGTAATATTCCATTGAATCAGAATCTCTTTCACTTTCAAGGTAACAATTAACTTAAGTTCTTGATATGATGGGAAAAAAGCCCTTTGTTGTCATCTTTCTTATATAAGTCAATTACCACCTGACCCACATATCTTAACTCTTGGATAAACAAATATTTTTCATCAAATGCTTTTCAATTTAGTATTTATAGATTTATAACCACTTTTTACAGTACACATTTTACAACATTATTAAGGAAAAACAAAAATGTATCACATACCTGTCCATCTAAGTCGAATGCTAAGCAAGCGATACCATGTGTATGAATATCCTTTAGAACTGATACAGTCTGCATAGTGTATGAATCCCAAACACAGATATAAGGTTCTTTCCCAACTTGTCCTGTTGCTACCAATACTCTCTCAGGATGCAATGCAAGACTAAAAAATAAAGAATAAATACGTAAGCAAATAATGAGATTTACAGAACTTTTATAGTATATATGGTACTTATATATCAACATGAACATTAGACTATTTACTTTAAATAACTTGTATTTAAAACAAACAACTAAAAATCTATGTAAAGAGTTACTATTTCTATAATATACTTGATAAACTAGATATATTCATAATTTCTGCAATATGATATGGTGCAATAAACTAAAAAAAGAACTTTCAGAAGAGAACAATGGGAAAATTAATATGCTACTCATCTGTTTTAAGCTCTCTTTTACACTTTACCATTCTTTTTATTGGATAATATTCAACTACATATTAATGTCTAAAAATGGCATTTAGTAGCATTCCTATTATATCAGTAATATATAAATTATATATCACTTCTAAGAAACAGGTCACCTTAATTCATAGGAAGTGATTTATAAAAATAAAATATAACAGTAGCAGTTATGTACATTAGCAAAAAGCAAAGAATGGAAGTAAATTTTTATTTGGTTTGAATTTAGAACATCATATTCACCTTTGAGATGAGAAAAAAATCCTGGAATGAAAAGAGGAAGAATTAGGAGGATATCAAAATAAAATCAATGGACTAGATATAGAAGATACAGAAAAGTGAAGAATCTAAGCAGAATCTTGGGTATCTATCTAGCTTGACTATTTGCACTAGATATGATATTTATCAAGCCAGAAAATCCTAAATGAGTTTCAGTATTTCAAATTATAGTGTCTAGAAAGGAGTCCGATGTTTTATTTCTACCAAAAAAATTTATCTAAGTTCTAAGAACTAAAGAGCATCTGGGTCACTTAGCCATTTTAATTTGTATGAGTCTTCATTTATCTGTAAATTAATTTGAATATAATCCTACAGGGAATTTATCACATTGATATAATTTATAACACGTACACAAAGATAACACACATAAGCAAACATATACACAAACATACATTTTACAGCTTTCATGTTAGAATTTTAATGTAACAAAGTAATACAGTATATAATATCAGTCTATAAAACAACAGTAACACAAATTATGCTTTTGAAAAAATGGCAAACAGTGGGAGAGTAAATGAGTTGAAATACAAGATTGATTCAATAGATGAAATTCAACAAATATATTTATAAAAAATAAAGGACCAATACAACCCACATATACTCATTTTAACAGAAAAATGACTTGACAATATGCAACCCCTTTCATGACATGCAACAAACCAGAAACTGAAAGGAACTTCCTCAAACTGATAAAGGCATCAAAAAAATCTATAGCTAATAATAATGAAAGACTAAAACTACCCTCTCAAGTACAGAAACATGATAAGGGTGTGTTTGCTACTTCATTCAACAAGGTACTAGTCTAGCCAGGACAACTAGATAAGAAAAAAAAGAGAAAAATAGAATTATTTCTACATTCAGACAATGTGACTTTATATAGAAAATTCTAAGAAATCCACAAAACAGTAGACCTAATGAGTTCAGCACGGCTGAAGAATATAAGAACAATATAGAAACTTAACTAAGGCCAGGTGCGGTGGTGCCTTACTGTAATCCCACCTACTTGGGAATCTGAGGCAGAAGGATGACCACCTCAAGGTCAGTTTGATCAACTTAATAAGACCCTGGCTCAAAACAAAAAATAAAATAAAAAGCCTTGGGGATTTTTCTCAGTGGTAGAGTACTTATACATCATGTACAAGGCCTTAGGTTTAATTTCAAGGACTGAAAAAAAAATGACATTCATTTCTCTGCACTCATAAAAGAATAACCAAAAATTAAATCCAGAAAACAAAATCAACCAGTAGCATCAAGAACAATTCACTTATGTCAAAATTTAATGAAGTACTTGTACACAGAATCTACAAAACCCCAGTGAAAAACATTCTGAAAGCTCTAAATGGGAAGACATCAAGTTCTAGGCTTGAAAGTGTTACTACTACTTCTACTACTACTGCTACTACCGCTACGGCTGCCACCACTAGTGCTTGGGATCCAACCCAGAGCCTTTAGCATGCTACCACTGAATCACAAGTGACACACACACTCCTCTTTCATATTTTTAATATGGCAACATATCCTAAATTAATTTAAATCAACAAAATCCCTGCCAAGATACCAGTTCATTCTTGCAGAAACTGAGAAGCCAATTTTAAAATTCAGAAAGACCCAGCATAACTAGAACAATCCTGAAAAAGGCAAAGTTGAAAGATATTTTTCAACTTTAAAATTTATTACTACAAAACTACAGTAATCCAGAAAGTGTGGTAATGGCATTAGGACAGAAATGCAGACAATGACACAGAATTAAAAATCCAATAACATATCTACACATTTTTTGCCAATCGATTCAGTAAGGGTAGTACCAAGATAATTTAATTGGGAAGAAGTTAGTCTTCTCAATAGATGGTATAGGGATACCTGAGTAACCATGTGCAAAGAATAAATTTGGACTCAAACCTCAATTCATATACAAAAGTCAACAAATCAAAATAAAACAAAGACCTAACTATAACAGCAAAAATCATAAAACTGTTAAAGAAAGCAGCAGCCACAGATCTTCATGACTTTAGATGAAGAAATGGCTCCTTAGATATACCAAAAGCAGAAGCAACAAAAGAATAGATAAATTAGACAATGAAAAATTTAAAAATTTTGTTATTTAAGAACAACTATCACAAACATGAAAACACAGCCAGAAAAGAGGAGAAAATATTTGCAGCATACATATCCAACATGGGGCTTCTATCTAGAATCCATAAAGAATTTTTTACAAATCAACAATAAAACCATAAGTAACTCATTTTTTTCCAAAGGGTAAATGCATTTTCCTAAGTAAGGTTACGCAAAAGGCATTTATAAAGATGCTCACTTTTAGCAGTCACTATGGAAATACACAAATCACAATGTACCACACTCATGATTGAAAAACAACTATCAATTATTATTCTGGTAGAGATGAGAGAAATGAAAACTCTTTATTTATTGCTTGTGGAATCATAAAATAATGCAGCCACACTGGAGAACAGTTTGATACAGTTACCATATGATGCAACAATTTTATTTCTAAATACATTTTTACTGGGCATGATGGCGCACACTGTAATCCTAGTACTTGAGGGGCTGAGACAGGAGGAACACTGTGAGTTCAAGGCAGCATGAACTACATAGTGAATTCAAGACCAGCTTGAATTACATAGTCAGAATCCATCTCAAAAACAAAAACAAAGCCATTTGCAGACCAGGGGTAGAGAGAAGGCCACATCAGGAAGCAAGCCCAGTCTGGGAACCAGTGCCATGCAGGGCCACAGCCAGAATAGAACAGACAGACTCCAGCCCCTTCTGGCACAGGGGCTGGCAAACAAGAAGTACCAACCTCCCCACATCCCTCCCTACAACTGTGAGCGACCAGCTTATTGGGATAAACACAGGCTGTGATGATGGCTATGGAGGTGAAATGCAGTTGGATGCCTGTGGTGCTTTGGTGTTTCAATGACATTGCTGGTCTAGGGTCCGTGGTCTGATAATAGGCTCAGAGATAGTGGCACGCAGTGTGGCATCTAGGAAGGGATCTCCTTCTGAGGGTTGCAGCCATTGTTGATTCCTTGTGGTCTTGAAGTCTTACATCATTTCCGTTGTTTTGCTGGATTGGGTTTTATTCTCTTTTGTTTTGTTTGATCATGTCAAATCCAATAGCTGGAGCAGCTATTTCAAAGATAGCAAGATACGTTATGGTAGCAATTTTGGATTTACTATTGGCTTGTTTTGAAATCCTTTATTGCATTAATGTTTTTGTTTTTATTGCTTTTATTCTAATTTGTTCTGTTGTATTTTTACTATGCAACTATTTTGAAGACATCAAGAGGCATTATGGTACCTATTGTTGATTTTGCAATATTTTGCAAGTCATGTGTCTCTTACACTGGTTTGTTTTGATTGGTTTTATTTTTTTATCCGCTTTAAAATAAAAAAATTTAAAAGATGAGTAGTTGTAGCCAAGTTGAGGGTGAAGATAGGTAGCTGTCCAGGTAAAGGGAGGGGATACATTCAAGGACCTTCATACAGGAAAGTGTTTAAACACATCAGTGAGCAGAAAGGAAGCCAGAAGACAGGTGCCTCTGACAATGAGGGGAAGAACAAAATGAGGAAAATGCTCTGGGAACAGGTGGCAGCACAGGAGAGGGCTGGCCTTTGAAGGGCATCCTTGACCTCTGCCATTGTTCTATGACAGTGAGCAAACACTTTTTTTCAGGCCCTAGTTTCCTTATTTCAAGAATAAAGAGTTCTTTCAGTTTTAAATTTTCTAGGATTATTTCTGTCTTGTCTTTTCCTTGTTTCAGAGACCCAATGAAGCACTGTGAAAAGTTGTCCATAGAAACTTTTTAGAGAGAACTAAGAAGAACCACACACACACACACACACACACACACACACAAAATCAGAAAAATAGGCTTTTTTGGTTGGTTGGTTGGTGGTCCCTTCCACCCTTTCTCTGATCACAGGAGTGTGAGATTTTTTAAATTTTCATTTTCTTGTTGTGTTTTTCTTCTTATACCGCCTGGATTTTTAGCTTTTACAGAAAACAGTGCTCCCCACTAGACTTCTGCATCAACCCTTCCCAAAGTGAATGGGAGATGCAGTGGAGGAACTTGGGGTGTTTTTTTCTGTTTATTTTTTTCCATTTTTAAAGTTATTCTTCTCAAGTATATCCAAGTATCAAAGCAAGCAGAAAAAAATTTTAAATGATCTAAAAATTGGTATCTATGTATTTTAAAACTGCACTGTTCTAAATTACGAATTTCTGAGTTAAGCCATATAAGATTTTGGTCATGTACTCTGCTATACATTGATTGCTGCAACACCAACATCTGAGCAGTTACTATTTTGTTAAATATAGATGCTGTCTGTCATGGAAGGGAATAATTACCCACATTTCATGTTGTGGGTCTTAGTAGAATCCTTATGGAAAAGCCAGGCTTGAGAG